AGAACCCTTGGTGCTGGAAATGATGGCCCAGTGGTTAAGACCACGTGGTGCCTCGCCTTACAGCCATATGTAACTCTAGATCCAGAGGATCTGATGCCTCCTTCTGGCCTTCAAAAGAATCTATTATGTACTGTATACACATGTTACATAAACATACATGCAATTAAAGCACCTATAAACATAAAATACAATTTAAAAAATTCTTACCTGGGCTGGCCTCGAACTCATGATTCTCCTGTCTCTGCCTCCTTCAGCAAATCTTACTGGCGTGTGCCACCACAACTGGCTTCTTTGAACCTTTAATAAACAATTAAATCTTTAGAACCATGCTTCCTTTGTTTATAAAATATAAAATTTGAGGGACAGATAATGCTATATAGTATGGGGGATCTGATGCCCTCGTCTTTCCTCCACAGGCACCAGGCATACACGTGATATACATACACAATGCAGGCAAAACACTCACACACAGAAACCAAAATAAATAAAAACTTTCAAAAAGGAACACTTTAGACAGAAATCAATTTAACACTATTTATTTGAGCAAAGAACAACTGCAGAATGGGGTCATGCTCAGACCCAGCGTGATTTATTTGAGAGCTCTGCAGCAGTGTGAGCAGTGAGCCCTGATAACAGAAACAAAAGAACGTGGCAAGACTCCTTCCTTAGTTAAATGGCAGTGGATGGTTCTGATTAGTAATCTCTCCAGTCCCCCACCCCCTTCACACTGGGCTCTAGTATACAAAGGAAGAATCCCTACTCTCATAGACTCCCAGATAGTTTTTTTTTATTTATTTTATTCATTTATTTTTAAACTTATTTTAATTTTATGTGCATTGGTGTTCCTCCTGCATGTATGTTTGTGTGAGGGTGTTGGGTCCCTGGAACTGGTGTTACAGGCAGTTTTGAGCTGCTATGTGGTTGCTGGGAATTGAACCTGGGAAGAGCAGTCAGTGTTCTTAACCACTGAGCCATATCTCCAGCCCCCCAAATGTTTTTTAAACAAAATTTTTATTAATTCTTTGAGAATTTCATGCAAGGTATTTTGATCATACTTATTCACCTTGCCAATCTCCTCCCAAATCCATCTCTACCTCTCTACTCATCCAACTTCACAAGTTCTCCTTTTTTTTAACCCATTGAGTGCAATTTGTACTGCAGAAATACCGCTGCCTGTTGAGCCTGCCCTGCAATGGGGTGGTCATATCCTTTCTGTCTCCTAGAAGCCATCAGTTGCCAGTAGGTTCTCAGCTAGGGGTGGGCTTCATGCCCTTCTCCCCCTCTCCATGCTGGGGTTTTCTGTCTGCCTTGTGCTTGTGTAGGTCTTTTGTGTGCTGTCAAGGTCTCTGTGCGTTCCTATGGGCACTGCCTTGTTTTGTTGTGCCTGCCCTCCAATGATCAAGACCATGGGAGGGGCTGTAGACATTACTTCTCTCTCTCCCAGGGCAGAATTTTAGTAGCAAACCTCATAAACAAGCATGCTTATTTTTGTAATAGAGTTCAAGGAGAAAATATATTTTATGTATAGAGGGATATTTATTAAAGCTTGTACTACATGTGGGTCTTTGTTTAAATTTTAATGAGCTCAGCAGCAAACCATGTCATAGGTGCAGATCTGTAATCATTCTGTAAGTGTAAGGTTGGCAGTGCGTTGGTAAGATTTCTAGACTGGGAACTCCAACTGTCCCATTGCACTGAAGTTGCTTTAATGTTTTAAAAGCACATTTATTTGTGTACTTTCATCTTCACGCCATGGTGTGTGTGTGTGTGTGTGTGTGTGTGTAGGTTAAAATTGTGAGGATTTCTTCTTTCTTTCCATAATCTTGGTCCTGGGGATAGAATTAAGGTGGGCAGGCTGGGTAGCAGTTGCCTTTATCCACTGAGTCATCCTACCAGCCCTGAAGCAGCTTTTTGAATGCAAGTCTGTGGAATCAGGAATTTCCCTATTTCTGTCACTTACCTCTCACCCCAAAGGGTCGCTCTTGGATTACAGGGAGATGCTCTGGCCTGATCCAAAGACCTCTGCCGTGTTCTGTGACGTGTGGAAAAAGTGCCTTGACCCGATTTCAGTAACTGGTGTTTCTTTGTAGATTTTTGAATGAAAGCCTCTGCTACCCTTACCTTTATTAGAAGTTGTGATTAATGAAACAAATCTGATGGACAGGATGAAAAAGGTCTGCTTGAAACTGTGGGAGGGAAGGAGGAGACAGATCTGTGGATGTGGAATGGTTGGAAAGAATGTGTTCCCAGTATTCCCACAGTCTTTTTTTTCCCCTGCTACAAATCCTTCAACAGCCTCTATGGTTGACAGAAGAGTCTAGATGTTTGTGGTCATAACTGAGATTTCTAGATGGCATAAGTCTCGCATTGAAAAAAAGCGCTCTGATTGCTGTCCACAGACAGGCCTGTCAGCAACTGTAATGTTTGCCTGGTTTGCATAGCTGCACGACATTGGTAGCCATCCAGCTCCAGTGGGCCTTTGAAGGCCTCTTGGAGCTCCCAGATAGCTTCTGCAGTAGCCTGTAGTCTCCTAGTGTGGCCCTTGTTTACTTCCCCAGCATGATCTCAAAGTCTAAAGTGCTACTGTGCTGGAGTTGTGTGCCAGATGCCACCGAAAAACATACTCTACAAGTCAAATGGCACATCTGGAAGACCCAGTGCTCACAGCTGGAATAAAAGCCAGACACCAGTCCTGAAGGTTCATATCCATGTCGTTACTGAGTTTCTGCTGTGAGCCAGGGGCTGCAGCTTCAGTTTATCTGACTGCTGCTCTGCCTCCCAGGCTACCTGTGCTTGATTTTATCACTTGCTTCCCACTCAGAAAATCATTAATAAGAATGCCAGGCAGTTTTCACTCCCAGACATTCTGAATAGATTTCCATCAAGCAGATAGCCCTGGCTGCTGTAGGAGAACAGACAGCAGCGCGAGTGTCCTCTAGCTGCAAGCGCTGTGTTTCCCAGTGTAGGAGAGGCACTCTGAACTCCCTTCTAGACTTTGCCATTGCATTACTTGGGCCCAGCCTTCTCTTGACCTCAGTATCCTCATCTGTAAAAGTGCAGTGGATTGGATGGCACTTACTATGCCTCGCATTTTTGACACTCTTATGTTGAAAATATATAGAATTTATAAGGAAGCAGTTTGTAAAGGTTTTTGTTCAGGAGAGTACCCTTTCTTTTTTCCCCTGGCAGAGAAAATCAGACCATATTTGTTCTTGACATTATAAAATGACCAATATTTCAAAGAACTAAAAGCAATCAGATTTAAACAGCAAGGTAAAATGTGTGCTTGATATTAACACACTTTTCTTCACTCAGCAAGAGTTCTATTTTAATCTGTCACTTCCAATATTATACCAGCCTGTTTCAGCCCATTTAGGTTAAGTAGCTACAACAATTTGGAATGTACTAATGACTCTTATATAGTGACTGCATGTGACCTAGGCAGAATCCGTTGAGGCCTTGGCTCTAAGACTGCTGGCTCGTAGGTTCGCTTAAAGGCCCACATGTTTAGAATTGACAACATGTCGCATATGGCTCAGAATGGATTCAATCATTTTGAACACATGGGAGAAAGGGTAATTATGGCTCAGAGGTTCAGAGGCTTAGAATCGCCTCCCTGTGCCACATGGAGAGGCAATGGCTTGAGGTATGAAGCTAGTTCACCACTGCTTCTTTTGTAAAGGATGGTCTCCATGACAACATGACTCTCTTTTTCCAACTGAGCACTGGGGTCGTAGAGCCTTAGTTATTCAAATTTGAAGTAGCATGCTTCATGCACGAGCTAGCATTCTCCTCAAATGTAAAATTGACACTTATAGTGACTCATCTCTCTTCCTCTCCTTTAGTCAATGATAACAGAACTGATTTCTGTAATCTAGGTTTGGTCCCCTTTTAGGGTGCTCAGTGCATGGCTAATTGCTATCACTCCAATCCATCTAACATTTAAAAATCATTTATTTTTATTCATGTGTATCTGCATGTGCAGTGCCCATGGGGGCCAGAAGGGAGCATCACATCTCCTGGAGCTGGAGTTACAAATGGCTGCGAGCCTCTTGATGTGGAGGTGGTAACTGAACCTGGGTCACTGACAAAAAGCAAGTGCTACAGCAAATGCTCTTAATCACTGAGCCATCTCTGGAGCTCCAGCTAACATTTATTGGGAAACTGTTATATCCTAGTGCAGTAGGCACTAGTGGTAATTCACATACTTTTAAGAAACTTTTCAAATGCAAATATACCTATTTCAAAATGTAATCAGCATTATTGGTAATGCTGCACAGGGAATGCCTACTTGAATATTTGTTGAAGGAATGGAGAACAAAAAACTACACATTCTTAACATCTCAAAGGCCTTTGAACTGGGTCCTCTCAAATTCCCTCATACAGATGGAGATATTAATTCCTCAAAGGGTATTGTTGTAGAATTCCCCTCTGTATGCTGTGAATACCATTGGCTAATAAAGAATCTGCTTTGGGCCTATTGCAGTGAAGAATAGGGCAAGGTAAAAATTCCAAGCAGATAGAGGAGGAGAGAGTAGGCAGAGTCAGAGAGAAACCATTTAGTGACAGACAAGACAGACACCGGACACTGCATGGAACCCTTACCTGTAGGACACAACCACATGGAGATACACAGATTAATAGAAATGGGTTAATTTAAGATGTAAGAGATAGCTAAAAATATGCACAAGCTAATAGACCAAACAGTGTTTTAATTAATACAGTTTCTGTGTGATTATTTTGGGTCTGTGCGGCTGGGAAATGAATGAGCAGCTTCCACCTACAGGGTATATGACTTATCCAACGACACACACATAGTTCATTAGACCTGCAAGTGGATTCAGGGCATTGTTCTCTTCAGATGTAGTGCAAATCTCATGAAGTTGGGGGACATTGAAGCATAAAGACAGTATTACATATTTCATCAGATGCATTCTTTTCAGGATTTTGCTGATTGTGTTCTTTGGGCTATGCCTCTAAATGATTTAACAAGAAATGGAGAAATTTGGAATGATGTTTATTGATACTTCATGCAAGACAAAAAAGAGGCAGTAAGTAGTAGAACTTAAGTAAAATCGGCAGTAGTGAGTACGGTTTGTTTGGTGGGGAGCAGGTGGCAGTGCCAAAGGGTTCAAATCATGCTTTTGACATTTGTTCCATTTATACATCAATAAGTAGTCAATATCAAATATGTTTATACAGAGATCTAGATAAGAGTTAAAATACAAGTTCATTAAGTCGCAGGTGAGAAACATGTTGGACTGTCAGCAACCATCTAAAAATTCAATATAACAAGATTAATTATAGTAACAAAGCTCACAGGTGAGCTGAAAACCAGAAATGGGCCATTTGGTTGACCATTTGCAATGACTCCCATCCTTGAGCCTGCTGTGGGTGACATGACACTTACGCTGGTTGTTTCGCTTAGGCAAGTTGTCTTGTCTAAGACACTGGAGAATGCTGGAGACACACTGTTAAACTAGTCCTTGAACACTCAGCTAGTTCTAGGCTAAATATGGACTAAAGCACTGTTTTAAGATCAATTTTGCATGTTTTCTCAACTTCCTTGTTCAATAACTTCATGCTAATAGCTTGAAGTCTACCAAGGTAAGGGGATTTCTACAATAGAAATGAGCGATTGTTACAAGTAAGGTTCTGAGGTATTTTTAAGAGATCTTCGTGCTCAGATATTTACCAGTATGCTACTATACACAGTGTAATTATATGGCTAAATTTATCATTCACTTTTTTTTCTTTCTTGTTCCTTTTCTTCAAGATAGGGTTTCTCTGTATAGCCCTGGCTGTCCTGGAATTCACTCTGTAGACCAGGCTGGCCTCGAACTCAGAAATCCACCTGCCTCTGCCTCTTGAGTGCTGAGATTGAAGGCATGCACCACTCTGTCTGGTTCATCATTAACTTTCTATTACTGTGAATTTTTTTCCAGATGGGGGCAATATATTTTGATCAATGTCATTGCTTTTTATACTTGCAATGACATGTAAGTTTGCCTTCTCAGAACCATTCCTGGTCAGGCCTCCATGATCACCAATTACACATTCTTGGGGAACTATCCTGGATAGTGTATTAAAGGGAAAGTTCCTCTTATGATTTTAGGCAGTGTACCTCATCCCCATATTATTCAAAGTAAGTTTGAGACCAATCTGGAAGTAAGTATGGGGTTGGTGGTCGTGTATATATGTGTACAGCATTAAAAAAAAGACTGTCTTCTTTCTCCAAAGGCTGGGGAGAAGAAGCGTGGGAGTGGGGGAGGGGAACATTGATTTGGGGGTTGGGAGTTTGGCAGTATCCGGGGGAAAAAAAAAGGAGAGGAAGTAGCACATTTGATGAGTTTTGACCTATTAGCTGCTCCTGTGTGCTGCTGGCCTTAAATGGACTAAAGATTCTGGATTCACAATCAATAAATTTGAGAGAGGCAAGGGATCTCTAAAACATAGATTGCTGCTAAGAAGGAGAACGGGATACGTCATCACAGTTGAGGACTAGGGTTCCTGCTGGGCACCATGGAAAACATCACTTTTTCATTTTACCAAGGGCTGGACTTAGGGAGACAGTAAAATCTCTTACCAAACTATTTCTTTAGTGATTACATTTGATAACCTACTCGATCTAGTACAATATAGATTCTAGATGGGTTCTTCCTCTGCACAGAGAAACCAGTATTTATCGAACTTATATATTTAACAAGAGTTGGAAAAAATGACTAGTTTAGTAAAGGGCTTGGTCTATTTTCAATCCCAGTGAATTTCCTTTGTAAATAGGTTTTTCATTAAGTTAGCTTTGTTTTTTCCTTAATCCAGTTGACATACCGGGAAACTTTAGTATATATTCCATATTTTCCTTTTATAGCACACTCTTCACCCCAGCTAATAATGCCAGTTAAGAAACTGGTCCCTTCCACTTCAGTAACATGAGGTCCCCCGCTATCCCCTTCACAAGAATCTTTGCCTCCCCCACGGTAACCAGCACAGAACATGTTGTTATAGATGCTGAATGTTGTGGACCGAAGGCATGTGGCTCGGTCGACCAGTGGAACTCTCAGGTACTGAAGAATGGAAGCCTGTCTCCCTTTGTTGAAGACTTTCCCCCAGCCACTTACATAACCAGAACCAAATTTAAGGAAGATGTTGGTATATTCCCTATTGGCAACACAGATAGGTGTTACATAGCTGTTTAGTAGTAAAGGCTTATCCAGCTCCAGCAAGGCGATGTCATGGCTGTACTTATTAACAGCTGCATTGTAGTGGTAATGAGGGATAGTTTGAATCACATTTCGCCTTTGCTCCGTGTCTTCCTTTTCATCAATGTTATAATCACCTGTTGAAAACAAATCTCATAGTTTATTGTCTTTTGCATAGACACATTTCCCATGGGTCTACATTTGGCTTGGGGTCAGTGAACACTAGCAACCAAGTCTCAATGATCTAATACAGTGGGTGGGGAAATTCATGCACCAATAAATAATTGTACAATGCTGAGGGTGCCTTATGGGTTCGCAAAAAGAAATATGGGGCTAGGAAGGTGGAATAAGTTAGAATTTGAAATTATGACCCCGCTATCATTAGCCCAATTTATTCAGTAGCAATCCTATTGGATCTTTGTACAAGAGAATATGTCCATCATAATGCTGATGTTGCCAATTATTATCTATTCTGTTTCCTTACCTGCAACAACCTCAATTTTGTCACCAGGTTTAAGGCAGTGGGCAGCAGTTACCACCCATTTTTCATTAATGATGGCACCTCCACAGAATGCCTTAACCTCGCCGTTTAAAATGACCTGTGGAAATAAAATTAAGAATCTCACTGCAGATGGTATCTGATCCAGAGAAAAATGAATACATATGCTGTTTTCGGGAGTGGGGAAAAGTTGGCTGTTCGGTGCTGGCAGAAGCAGAGGGTTTCTGGAAAGTGTCGGCTCTGCTCTGCAGATGAGTTAGTGTTTCTGGAGCACAGACCAAACTACTGTTTCTCTATTGATCTCGAAGTGAATGCAGAATGAGAGCTAGTGTGGCAGGGATAGTGCTCCGGGGGAGGCAAATCTGGTGAGTGGCTATTTTCTGTGATGTGGGGCCCGTGAGTTCCTTTTATCATGCTATTTGCAGCCTCCTGGCACAAGCTTTTCAAGGAGCTACAGTGGATATGGGAGAAAATACTAACTCCCCAGGATGAATAATCAGTATTGAGTCTCTTGCCTTCTATGAGGACCTATGAGGACATCTCTTTGCTACAGGTCCCTTGAAAGAAAAAAAAACTGACCAGTTTCTCAGGAGTTGTTTCAAACCTCCAAATGAGAATGTTATAAAATGAGACCTAAGGACTCCACAGGGGCTGCATTTCCTAGTCACCTAGGTGCTGACCACCAGCAGGACTCACACATTCCTTCCAGCTCCCTTAATCACAGCCAGCGTCCTCTGGCTACAGATGGAGGCTGTCCTTGTTCTAAAAAGTCCGCTTTGCTGTGCTTGACTTTGAGACAAGGTGAACAAAAGTATCTGGAGTGTGACCTTAAACATGTACGTTATTGGATAAGAGGCTAATCCATTCTTTCTTGTCCACATTCACAGCATAAACAAAGAGGACCATCAATTTCTCTCTCTCTCTCTCTCTCTCTCTCTCTCTCTCTCTCTCTCTCTCTCTCTCTCTTCCTTTCCTTTTCTTTTTCTTTTTGCCACATCAATGTCTAAATCAACTTAGAGAATTTCAGTCCCATTGTAAACAAAGGCATTTTTTGATCCACACTTTCAGAGATAAATCTGAGAAGTGTGGACACTAGAGGGCACACTCAGCATTCAGTAAACTCTTTTCAGAAGCCCACTAGCCTTTGTGAACTGATGCCCTTAGCCTAAGTCTTAAGTAGCCCTTCAGCGAAACCTGTCCCTAAACACGACAAAGGGGTGGGGAGTGTTGGTTCCTTTGCATGTGGGGCACAGATGGTCCTTTTGAAGGACTTGTTCTGGGCCCAAATTCAACTTACTTAATGGCCACTTTGTCCTGGACTCTGAAGCATGAGCTGTGTAGCTAAAGTCCTGAGGGGCTCACCCAACTGTCACAACCCTCTGACCCCTTTCCCACTCTCAGGCTCTCTGGCTCTTTTTAGCTATTGCCTTACATTTTGAAAAATTGCAAAAATACAGAAAAAACAATAATGATATAATAAACACCAGGATTTCTACCACCCAGATTTAACAATCTTCCTAATTTTATGCATTTATTGAATGATTATTTGAGGCTAATGATTGCATTACTTATACACATTTGTAACTCAAAACACAATCATTGTGAAATATTACTCTGTACATGCTCAGTGAGCAAACTGAGGTTTAAAAATACATAAGCACTCGTGCTACTGAGATGACACAGTGGGTAAAAGTGCTTGCCACCAAGCCTAGTGACCTTAGTTCAGTCCCTGGGATCCGATTTCTGCAAGCTGTCCTTTGACCTCCACATGTGTGCTGTGGCCTATGTGTGTCACATACACTTGCCTGGCCCTAGTGTTTATGTTCCTGAACATTCAGAATATCTTAGATGTGGTCTGAGAACAAAATGTCAGAGAAAATCTCAGTTTCTTATAAAAACAGATTGGGGGGGTCATAGAGATTTAATGAGAATATTTTGTGGGTAGTGCTGGAGAAAGTGGAACTCCATTCCTCGAGTGCTTACATTTGAGAAGTGTTATATAGCTAGTGAATCCAGATTCTCGTAGCTTGGTAATCTTTATGGGTTAAAAATGTTCACTCAGGCTGGGAACATGCTTTGTAGGGTCATTGGGAAGCAAACATCTGATAAAAGCCTGGATAAAACCGCTGTTGAAGATATTGAAATAGAAAGTGTCCCTTTTGCATCTAGGGTCACTTTTCTAACCCATCATTTAAAGCTTATTTAGTGCTATATTCCTTCCAGCATGGGAATATTTGCTGGCTGACTCCAAGCCTTCATGTGTGGTCTTGATATCCCACTGTCTGCTAGCTCCAGATGATCCACCCAGTCCTCACACCACTCCCAACAAGGGCGAGGAGGCCAGTCTTCCCTTGATAGACTACCACACCCATCAAGGGAAGTGATTCCTGAACAAATGCACTTCCTTGTCAGAATGTGGATGGGCCCTGGAAGCTCCTGCTCCCTCTCCGAATGTGCTGGGAGAGGCATATTCTGGGTCCGGAGATGTGATAGGATTATGCATCTTTCCACAAATGATATAGAGTATGTGCACGTGACCTCAATTGTCCCTCTGCTTGTGCCAACCGTGTTAGGAAGGGAGCACAGCCTTGACATTTGGGTTGAAGCACTGAGAAGAAGTTTTCATGAGTACCATAGGTTGGGTGTTGGCAATGGTCCTGGGCAACCAGGCTCTATGAGGCACCATGGGTTGGAGAATGGGAGGTGAAAAAAGATGTGACTGCAACAAGCCAGGGTTCCAGCCCTCGCCACATGTTCTATTGTCTCCTTAGGCTTCTGTTATGGAGCACAAATACAAGCCACTTAAACCTTTGATATGAGACTCTTCTCATTATAGAGCACTGGACAAGTTCAAAAGATGAAGTGGCTGACTCTGATTCCAAATAATTTTACCATCAAGGAAATTTGGGTAACATGGTTCTATCCTGAAAATTACAATCCAGCATGTCTTTCTCTGGAAGTAGAATTAGCATGACAAAATGGATTTTTTTTAGGTACTAATGTAGGATTACTGAACACTTCCCAGCTAGTGGGTTAGGGTAGGTCAACGTGAAGGATAGCCAGCCCCTGGGCACATAGACAATAACATATTTTATATGACTTTCCCAAAGGGATGCTGCCTGGAGACTCTGCTGTTTTCCAGTGCCTCACTGAGAAATATGGTTGTGTCCTTTTAAGCCTGAAGAGCGTTCTTTGCCAATCCCTAATTGGTATTAGAAATTTTAGCGAACACCTTTGCCAAGAAAAAGGAACTAAGATATATTTACAATTAAAATATTACAAATGCGTGGTTTGGAATGCTTGCTTGGCCACCTAAAGACCATAGCTATCTCAATATTAGCTACTTGGAAGATGAGCTATCTGCTTAGCCAAAAGAAAAGTTCTTGCAACACTTCAGAGAATGATGGGGAAAAAATAGGAAAGCATATATTCTAAGCAAAACATCTGAGTTCTGATCTGTCAATTATTTTCATGGCCACAGTCTAGAGCCTTCTTCTGTGTATCACCGCCCCCTCTCCAACACACCTATACACAATGACAAAATACAAAAGTTTGTACTTCTGTTCTCCATGGCAATGGCAGCCCACAATAGCAGCTGTCTCATTGTTTGTTCTCTTTTGCACCTTTAATTCCAGCCTAGCCTTTCCCTGAGTTCACTAAAACCCTTATTTTCTTTTGTCATCTGTTCTAGCTTTTTAATAACACCATTTATTCTAATTTTCTATTATACAAAGTAAAATACATGATGTACTGTTTGTTAGGCTATGGCTGTTAGTCACCAAATTCATGGCAATAGGTTATTTTGTTGGGTACATAAGGGATACTCACTTTGGCTTATAATGGTTAACTATAATCATTAAATACAATGGCCATTGATATGTACTTCATAAAACAACACTGCAGGTTAATAGCTCAAATGGTCTGTTAAAACTAGCTTTGTAGATGTAGGCGAGATTATACGTGTTATTTTCTTTCTTCCCCGAATTGAAATTTTATCATCTGAGCTAGGAATAATACAAGATTGTCTTTTCCAGGTAAGACATTTCTTTTAGTTCTTTCTGCTTTTCTTTTCTTTCTTTTTCTTTTTTGAGACAGGGATTCTTTGATAGCCTGGTTGTCCTGGAACTAGCTTTGTAGACCAGGATGCCCTCAAACTCACAGAGATCTGCCTGCCTCTGCCTCCTGAGTGCTGAGATTAAAGGTGTGAGCTACCACTACCTGCTCTTGTTTTGTTTTTGAGACAGAGTCTCTCAATGTAGCCCTGGATGTCCTGGAACTTAGTATGCAAACTAGGCTGGCCTCGGACTCACAGATATCCATGTACTTCTGCCTCTCAAATGCTGGGACTAAAAAGGTGTGCATAACCACACATAGAGAGAAGTAAACCATTTCTGTAGAACTATGATCGTCATGTAAAAGAAAACATCTCTGGCTTATTCATATTTTAAGTTTTCTGTTTGTCATGGGGTTGAAGGAGTAGATCTGTGCAGGTCACTTCAGTGATAGCTTGGGCACTCATCTGGGAAAAGCTGAGAATGGGGAAATGAAGGTATTTAAGGAGAACATTTGTGCCAAGACTATAAAACCAAGATAAAAATCCATCTTTTAAAAAGGCAGCTATTTCTTAGGTGGAGCTACAAAGGCCTTAGCAGAAAGCAGAAGAGATTTGCGCTTGCTCAGAGCTGTCAGCCTAGCCATGACTGTGGGAGAAAAACAATTAAATGAAAGCTTTAGACAGGCACCTTTTTGTTTTCTCAAACCTCTACTTTAGAGTTGTTGATGAAAGTGATCTAGTAATATAGGCGTTACAGTTTGCCTTTCCTGCCCCCTAATGTTCCAAAGCTTTTATTTTTTCCTATATAGCTGTTTTAGTTTCTCAGTCGGCTAGATACCGTCTCTAAGAAAAATGTGTTTCTGTTACCGTGTGGTGCACTTAACTCTCTAGCTTCCCCTCTTACGCCCTGAAGTGTTCCTTCCAAGTCCCTGCTTCTTTTCCAAAGAGCTCTGATCCCCCTGCACAAGAACAAAAAGGAAAGATCTCTTCTGCTTGGTTTGCACCTTTGGCCTGGGTGGAGAGGAGGGGAGGATTCTGAAACTGAACTGGGTAGCTGCGCAGCTCAGGACCCCTAGAGTTCCAAGGGAGTAATCCTGTCAACCTGTCCTGATAGGTCCCTTAGGCTCTTGCTGTAGGCCAGGCAAATGAAGTGGAAGCCCAGGAATAAGGTGAGAAATGAGGGTGACATGGTGACCAGGCTTCCCAAGTCCCCTAGCCTGTGCCCACGGATTTTCATCTGGACCGCTGCTCCTGCCGTCAGAAGGGCTCCGCCACTCAACAGTTCCAAAGCATTTGCTCAAACAAGTCTCAGGTGAAACCTGCCCAGCTAATTTGAAGATTGCAGTGTCAGCCAAGCTATCGGTTTCTGACAATAAAAGTCCATACTTCAGTAGAGATAATATTTTGGTGTGAAGAATCATTGAAATCAGTATCAAATTTTGATCATGGCCTAAGGAGTTTTAAACTAGACAAAATCATGATCTTTTCTATCCACCAGAGATACATGCAACGATGGAAATATTCTCTTCATACCTACCTTGTCTGGAATAGTCACCAGACACTTGTGGCCACTATTCCCTGGAAGTGTGGCAGAAGTGACAGAGGAACCGAATTTTTTTAGTCAGTACATTTAAGTGACCACATATGCTGATTACTTATGGGCCAGTCCAATTTCATATAAGAAACTGACTAGCTCCTTGTGTTGAGGTGGGAGGAGTTGGCCTGTCTCTCCTCACAGATGGAATCACTTAAGCTTTGGCTAAATGTATAGTTAAGTCCTGGGTTTGCTACTAATCTAACTCTTGGTTATATATATAAAAAATACAGTCAGGGAATACTGTATATGCAGTTTGTGTGCAGAACACACTTGTAGGGCTGAGTAGATGGAGTCGATTGTTTGGCATTTGGGGGGCTGGTTTCTGCATGCTTCCTTTAGAACCATGGTTTTCCAGGCTACAGTATACACCAGAATGACCTGGAGTGCTTCCTTGACCCCAGCAGCTTGCTGAGCCCCTCCCTCTAGCGGTTCAAATCCAGTGAGAACTGGATGAGGTGTGAGGGTGCATGCCTAACAAATTCTTGGTGATCTGGACATACTGTCTGTCTTGGAGAAACGTGGCAGTAGGTCAGGCCTCATATGTTTATTCCAGGAAACTAGGTTTTGCTTTCACCCTTTCCATGTGAGTCCTTTTCTCTATTCCCATCAGGTTGTCTGGGCCTAGGGACTTCTTTACTAGTTTCCTCCCTTCAGGGGCTGAAGGTGTTTGTTGAGTTCCAGTCCCAGTGTGTGTGTGTGTGTGTGTGTGTGTGTGTGTGTGTGTGTGTGAGAGAGAGAGAGAGAGAGAGAGAGAGAGAGAGAGAGAGAGAGAGAGAGAGAGCGAGCTCATTTATAAGCATTGCTATTGCTGAGCCATTTTCAGAATCCTACTGTACTATTTGTTTGGTACTGAATTCCTTTTTGACCCTGTCTGGTAGCCATCCCCGGACATGCCTTCCACTAGATGCTTACCTATAGGGGTTTTTCTTTTGCTGAGTGGTGAAATCTGCCTAAATACATATCACAATCCCCACAGGTCTTTTTAATGTCCTAGCTCCATTCCTCATTTGGCCTCTCTCTTGCCATCTGAGCTCGAGCTTTTAAACGCACTGTCAATAGAAAGTACCTGCCAAGGGATTTGACCTGGTTTGGTGTTTTCTCCACCAACAACTCGACGGAAGTCATCATATGGTTCACTATTTTCAGTGACGTTATCCAGAATGGTGCTGTTAGTGAAGTCATCCAGAAAGAAGTCAGCTTCAGTAGAGTTTTCATAGCCCATATCAGAAAAAGTAGTCTCTACACGGGTGAGCTTAGAACCGTATGAAACAGAAACTCTTCCACATGGAAATGGAACTACAGAAATAGAAAAAAGAACATTATTCTGATATTTCACAGTAGGAAATGGAACTGCATTACAAACATTGAGAAGGAAGCTCATTCGTTGCTGTCAGTTTGGAGAAGTAGGCCCATCAACGCTGAAAGAAACTAAAAGGCTGACCTATTATTTTTATACAAAATTTTTAAAACTTCCATGGGTGAGAGCATTCGGCTCTGGAATCCACCATCTTTATGGAAATAAAATAGGTGTTCTGAAATCAAATCTTACTACTGTCTCCTGAGCTTCTTAAAGTCTTACTGTCCTCTAATGGAAATCCGGAAGGAATTCTGTGTAACTTTCCTTTTAGGATAAGGTAAAAGGGGCTTCTACTGATTGTTATTAACAGGCTTTCTTTTGTAGACCACTAATGCACCAGAGATTCCAACATGGAATTTTTTAAGAGCGCTCATTGTGATTCAATTGTGTTTGTCGAAAATTTACCAAATGGGTATAGGTTACAAATATTATAACCAAAGCTATATTTACTTGGATCTGACTATCTTTTCCCCCTCCCCCGCTTTCATTTATTTCCCAACAAATCAGCTGCTGATACACTGGGAATGGCAATTTTTTAGTCAAACAAAGTCACCTCCCACTTCATTTTCATGTTTTCCTCTCATTCCAGTTACATCTCTTATACCAGCTATTTCTATAGCAATTAGCTATGGTTAAGCATCATGAAGACAGTTTGTCGTTGAAAAAATAGAAAATTAGTTTAAAATACGTATTCATAAATATACAGGATCAACAATGTCTTGAGAAAAAGGACTGTTATCTTTGAAAAGGCAGAGCGGCTTATTTTAGGGTTGGCCTACTTACGCTGCTAAAGTAAGGCTACATTCAAATGGAACTCTTAATAGTTGGAGGTGCTTTTCAATCTTAATTTTCCTCTCTTAGAACATAGAAAGGCTTCTAAGGGCTAAGCTTCAGTGCCAGCTGCCTTCATTGGAAGTTAGCCTTTTTAATGTTAATTGCACGCGCACATACACGCACACACACACACACACAAGCACACACACACACACATCTCCTAAGGCAAGCTGTGTATAAGGCAATGTATGTGAAGAAGCAGGCAGAAGGTGAAGCATCTAAGACTCTCCCCTTTGTTTGCAGCAGACACACTCTTGTATGCTGGGCCTGTCTTTAATTTCCTCTGCCTGGTACATTGCTGAGATAGGTATCAAGCCCACAGCTATAAAGGAATGGTTCATAATTTAATGTACCAACTTAATAAAAGATCTTGCCTTGGAAATGCAAGAGAAACTGTACCTGGCTTGCTTCAAAATTGTTCTTCTTTTTTTCATTTGTGGGTGTGGTATATGTGTGTGGGTATGAGTGCCCAAGCCTGCAGGTATGGAAGTCAGAGGTGGACATCAAGTGTCCTCATTTATTTCTCTGCTTTATAAATTACTTTTGGAGACCGGGCCTCTCACCAAACCTGGAGCTCACTATTTCTGACTGGTCCTATCTTTCCCTTCAGTGCTGGGACCATGGATTTACACTGCCTGGCTTTTTTGCACTGGGAATCTGAACCCAGGTCCTCATGTGTGCACACCAGGCATTTTACTTTCCTTCTTTTAGTATTGTAAAGCTTGTCTCCCTCCCCCCCAAATCAAAATTATGGCTTCAGAGGTGACCAATGAATGTGGAGCTGTTTGAAACACAATTATCTGTCAACATGGTGTCACGCTCACACAACTATGAAACATTACTTTGCCCTTTACTGTAAAGGCTTGTGTGGCTCGGGCTAGGAGAGCATAAACTATTGCTGGATCCAGTCTGACCGAAAGTATAGAACCCCAGTTTATGACTCAAGTCAGGAAGTAATTTTAATAGATGGAACTAACTAGGCCTCCAACAGACTTAGACTTAACACTTAGCATCTTTTCATTAGAAATTTACTAATCAGCCAAGTATTTATATGACTTTTATGCTATGGTAGTATATTATTAGTTAGATCTGCTGAATCTCAAATATTGCACATAGATGCTACACATGTCAATTTCTTTGTGATACAGAAATCAGAGAAAAAACATGGTCTCAGAAAAGAATTCAGGCTGTACATAATTATTGAACTCAAGTGATGGTGCCATTTGGAAAATTAATTTGTTTATTTCAAGCTACTAATCTTTTGTTCAGTTTCAAAAAGGAGTAGATACAAGTAAGTATTGAAATAAGGTATTTTGGGGGCTGAAGAGATTTTTTCGGTGGTTAGGAGCACCTGCTTCTGCAGAGGGCCTGAACCTGGGCTATAACTAGAGTTATAGAGGGTTAGTGAAGCACCTACGGGTTAACCCACTCAGCCTCCATAACTCCACTTCAGGGGATCTGATGCCCTCTTCTTACTTCCATGGGAATTGCACACTTGTATAATGCATACATGCACACAAGATACTCATATATATATAATAAAAATAAATAAATCCTTTTACAAGTCTAAAATAAGATAGTTTAAGTGTTAAAGATTCAAACACAGAATTTTGTTAAACAACTTATTTAGGGCTGGAGAGATGGCTCAGCGGTTAAGAGCATTGCCTGCTCTTTCAAAGGTCCTGAGTTCAATTCCCAGCAACCACATGGTGACTCACAGCCATCTGTAATGAGGTCTGGTGCCCTCTTCTGGCCTGCAGGCATACACACAGACAGAATATTGTATACATAATAAATAAATAAATAAATAAATAAATAAATAAATAAATAAATATTAAAAAAAAACAACTTATTTAGATTTTGACCTGCTGGTTCACAAGACTTCTGGTCTTCTGCAAGTTGGTATCCCTCAGTGCAGGAACAAATTACCTTGTTATCAGCACCATTTTTACAAAACTGCGTGCACCTGCCATTTTTAATGTTACATGTTGCATCTAAAAGAAAAGAAAAAAAAACTAATGTCTTGTCTGACATATATTTCAAAAATACACAGAACTATTGGCTCACGTGTATGTTAAGCACTTGTATGGAAGCCTTGAGCTAAGAGTAGAAAATGAGGTAAAATAACACTCTCAGTAATTCATGAAGATGGTGTTGGCAATATTTTGATTCTGCATATGATCAAATAATTCGATATTGTACTTTGACTAAATCATGAGCTACGACTAGATGCTTATTTATTTACATATAACACTGGTTCAAATGCCGCACAGGTTAATGCATACAGCGTTATCAACCCACACAAGTCCCTTAATGTTCCCTCCCAATCATACTACCCTTCCTCTTCCTCTTTTACAGACTCTGTCACTGCCTGGGCTTCAAACATGGTAAATAGCTTTGGTAGTTAATGAACTTCATGTAAACAACATATATATTCTTCTCTTTTAGCAATGTATTTGTGTGATTCATCTATAAGCTTTTGTATAGCAATACTTCCTTTATATTTCTGTGTAGTAGGCCATTGTATTAATACAATTTTAATCTATCTATTCTATTATTTTTTAAAACTACTAATGTGCATGTGTGTGTGTGTGTGTGTGTGGTATCCACAGAAGCCAGAGTGTGTTTAGAGTATTTGTACATCTTTCTTTTATTACTAAGCACTTCATTTTCACTCTGTTCCACAACTTATTTTCTGTTTATTCTGGTATAAACACAACTGGTATTTACATATTGCGTCCATATTCAGCACCATTTCCATATGTTTCTTTATTTTAATTGTTTAAAGTTCATCTGATAAATAGCTCATAGTGCTTACTGGTAGCCCAGTAAATCAGGAAAGGAAGATAAACTGTTATTGGGGAAGGGAATAGAGGAACCAACCTGAGATTTCGTTTTTGCTACCAATAATTCACTAAGTGCATGATTTAAAAAAAATGGCATCTGGTCTTTTGCATTTAGTTAGTTTTTAGGACCTTTTCCCTCATGAATGTTGATAGCATCTCTGGCTCTTTTCCTGTTCCTAGCTATCCTATCATTGCTACAAAGCAATACTAAAGTGTTCAGCCAAAATTAAATACCACTTGTAGAGAATGTTTCATCAACAGGAGATTGTGACAAGGTAACAGAGGTGGGTGGTGAGAACAGGGCAAATGTGACGGTAATGATTTCTCCATTCTGCTTCTGTGCCCTTGGTTAAGCCACCAGACCTCTCAATCATTTCCTTATTTGCCATTGCCCTTTCTGGCTCAGCATGTTGCTGCTGCTCTTGATCCCTGGCCTGGTTGGTGCACATAGGGGGATGTGTTGCTGTAGCATCAACGGTCTTTTGCCTGCGGCCAAAGGCTCAGGATTCTAGAAATAGAATTATAGCTCAAGACATTCCAGGGGAGAGGTCAATAGATCGAGACCTGGGAAAGAGCACGGAGCTCATTCGTCAGCTACTGAGCACTTAGACGGCAAACACTAGGTTGGGTATTGGATTTTCCTTGGTTTTGACAGCATCAGGTTGCCCGCCAGAGCCTTAACAAAATTTTGTTCTGTTGAATAGGTTTGCCAGAAAACATGATGCTATTCAGCTAAACAAAACGTTTTTCCTATTCAAAAAAAAAAGCATAGTAAATGAGAAAGTTGGGTCTGTGGTGTCCTGCAAAAATTAGAACAAAGTCAAAAACAAATAAACAAACCCCCAAACCATAAAAAACAACCTCAGAGAATATTCTTTTGTTTGTAATTTTTTCTTCCCACTCTGTTTTTCTGTCTGGAAATGTTTCTCATATTCTTTAGGAGGAAAGGGTGTCTAGAGCCTTGAAGACCTTGATTTTCTGATAATGGGTATTTGGATTTCTTCTGCAGCAGAGGAAATCCGGAGATCTTTATTCTAGCCAAAGGGAGCCAGTAGCCAATTAATTCTTGTTTTTTGTTTTTCTTTTTCTTCTGACTAGAAGGCATGCCCCAAACGTGTGCTCCCCACTCCCCTGACTAAGAGCGCTGATAAACGGAGGGTGTGGTGGGGGAGAAATCAAAAAGCCACACTAGTGGAAATCCGGGCATTTCCTAGGCAGGGTGAGGCATGGGCCCACACACCTGGCTGCTGTGCGGCCTCATGACTTCTCAGGGGCGCGTTCAGTCAGCTCGAGGCGAGAAGCTTAAGTGGGAGTTTGTATATACTTTGTTGCTGCTCTCCTCTAGTGTCCGTGATGAAGAGCATTCTGACAGAATTCCCATTTTGTTTCTGAATCAGCTGAGCTAATTTTTTTTTTTTTTAAAAAACAAACCCTTTATCGAATTGGTTGGATCTGATCAATATACCCCAGAGGCTAAGTGCGGCGGTGGCTGTAGTACAGCTACAGAGCCCTGGCCAAACAGAAACGTGGGAACCAAGGGACATTGAGATGTTGCCAACACTTTTTCTCTATGGACCGTAACCTCTTTCGTATTGTTAGAGCATTTCTGAACTTATGTTCGTATTCCTCGAGGCTGTTCTCGTCCTCCTTTTAAACTGTTTGTTTTAAAACGAGATAGAGAACCGGAGAGCTGGCTCACTGGTTAAGAGCATTTGCTGCTTTTCCCGGGGAACCAAGTTAGGTTTCTAAAACCCACGTGGATGCTCACAGCCACTTTTAACTCCTGTTCCAGAGGATCCCCTGCCACCTTCTGGCTTCTTTGGGCATTGCATGGACATGGTACCCAGTTATTCATGCTGAAAAAACATCCTTAAGCATAAAAGAAAAATAAATATATCAAAGTAGATAGACATGGTTTTACAATTATTTCATCACTATATTTTTATATGCATGGGTAAGTTTTATATGCATATAAATTTATGTACCCCGTGCATATCTGAGCCTGCGGATGCTGAAGAAGTACAGCTAGTTGTGAGACACCATGTAGGCTCTGGGAACTGAACAGGTCCTCTAGAAGAGCAGCCAATGCTCTTAACTGTTGAATCATCTCTCCATCCCAACCTTTATGCTTGCAATGATCATCTACTACAATGTGTCCTTCAATTATAACAGACTGAGTTATCTATCCCCTTCACTCCAATAGTTTCATCATTTGAGGCAATAATGAGTAACTATTCAAAGTATTCCCGTATATACCTGGCATAGGAGGACTAAATTTCACTAAGTAAGTCTGAATTTGAAATTATAATCTTTCAGAACAAATGGCACTTTAGAGATCTTGAGCCAATTAACACAGCCCCAGGAGGGGAAACCCAAGCTGTGGGTTATTGCTACACCAGGGATGCTAAACAAATGGAAGTCCAGCCTGAGCATTTTAGTTTCCCCGCGTGCATTCATTCTTTCTTTTTAAATTCCTTTGTCCTTTCAACTTTTCTTTTCATTCTGAGATCTTTCAGATCTCAAAGGAAGATGATCAATGAACTTTCCCATGGTCCTGAACAATCTTGCAGGGACTTTTATCCCCTTTCTCAATAGGACAAGTGCAGCTGCCGCCTTTCATTTCATCTCCTGCCTTGTTCATCTGTCAGAGAGATGGCTATATAGCCTTAAGAGTGTCCTGATATTTTTCTACCTTTTATCCTTAGCCATGAAACCTGTGCTGTTAAATTTCTTCCCTCAGATTGCACATCTATTCTCCTAGAGTTTCAGAGAACAAAGTTTTTTCTTGGTACCACGTGCTTTTCTCAGTCACAATGTCTGAAATACTGCATCCAGAGTAATCAGCAGGTAAAGGACTTTGGGGTTTACGGCTCAAATCACAAATATCTCAAAAAAAAAAAAGATTCTAGGCAATGAAAAGGTAAACAAAGCCTTACATTGCAAGTTACTTTTTCCCTGTTACTCTTTGATATAATCAATACTGTTGAATTGAGGAACAATCTCTGATTTTTATAACAAATTTAACATATAAAGTGTTTTATCCATCTGGAGGAATTCCTATTACATTGGGAGCTGTCATGCCGAGATCTATATAGACTATCTACTTCCACAGCCTAGATCAAAAGTGACTCAGCCACAAGTTCAAATTATTTTATAGATGCAGTTTTGTGCACAGTTCAGCTGAAGTTCACTTCCTGGCTCAACCATTTACACCTCTTCTGTTTGTGCTGTTGTCTTCCAATGTTCCTCAAACGGGGATAATAATGGTACTGAGCACATATGACTGTATTAAGGATTAATAAGTAAAGGGAATGGAACATTACCACTCAATACTAGACTGAATTCATACCCTGAAAACTGACTACAGAGACCATGAATGCTTATAAGCTTTGAAAGTTTGTTTTAGGAGAAATGTGTGGTACATAAATATTTCAATTTCCTGTTTCATCTGGTTTAAGAAGGAAACTTTGAACCATGAATAATAAAAATGTTACTTACCTAATTCACAGTTCCTTCCTTCAAATCCAGCTTGGCACCAACATTCATAGGAATTAATATCATCCTTGCATTTTCCACCATTTAAACAAGGATTTGACTCACACTGATCTCCATCTTTAAGACAGGTTAGAAAATGGAATTATCAGATAAATTGCTTAGAATGCCCAGTCCTCCCCTGAATAGATGTCTGATTTTAGGGTCAGAGAAGAACCACTGTGCTGCAAGCTAACTGCATATGGGTAAGTGATGCGCTTGTTTTTCTGAGCTTCTAAAATCCACGGAAGCAAAGGCCAATGGTATCTTGAAAGTTGCCCATAGGGAGACACACACAGTTCATTCAATCCAAAGGAAGAGGGGAGATATGTTTGCATGGAAATTACTATATGAGCAGACAACAAGAGAGGCTGTTCATGTTTCTTTATGGAATGGAAACAGGTTAACCGCAAGTCAATCAAACTCATCCACTTCAATAATTACTATTTATATTTCATATGAGAACACTTTAATGCAGGTATTGAAGAGCAAGCTGTGTTAGACAATAAAGATGTTTTCACACAAGGAACTAGCAGCGCAGGTACAGGGCAAATGTATCAACTTACCTATCATATGAAGCAAGGGTCTGTGGGAACAGGGAAGGTGCCGGAAGCTTAAAGATAGTTGTCTGCCTACCAGTTAGGTTCCGAGTGGACAACCATGGTCAGCACATCATCAGAAACTTAAAAGTACTGTTGGGTGTGCTTTATGAATGGATTTGCTGTCTCCATTCTGTTTTCTGAAGTTTCTACATTTATGGTCTTTGAAGACAATGACAGCAAAACAAACAAAAAACAGGAAGAAGGAATAGGCAAAGAGGGGAGCAGAAGGAAACCTTTAAGTCTTCTTCCTTAGTGTTTGGCCGCCATTCATACTATTAAGAAAGTTTCACATGGAGAGGGTGAATCCAACCAGAAGGAGAGAATTATGCATTTTGAGCTATAGAAAAATTGCGAACTAGGCCTGTAGGACTCCACATATGAGAAGGAAACAATGAGATAAAATGGTATCAAAGATCAAAGAGAGAAAAAAAAGGAGGAATAAAAGAGAAATTTCCAGTTATTAGTCATTCTTATATATAGCCAAACTCCTGGGTACATAATTGTGTAGGTTCTCATAATCTTTCCCTACTGTCTGATAGCAGCATGTGTCTATTGTCTATGTTCTGTTGACTAAGGGAATAGAATCCTTTTCAGAAATAAACTCTCTGGAAAATTGGATTGCTGTAAAAATTAGACCTTGCCCTCTCTGCCCCTTGATCCAATGTGCTTTTGCACAGATACTGCAATTTGTTCCAATTCTATGAAAACAAAATACATTATCTCTGGTTTATTATTATTGATGTTCAGAACTGGTCTAAAAACGAGCTACATTTGCACTTTATATTATAGACCAATGAATCTGAATTATTTAGGGTGTTTCAGTGGAAGGGTCTGGGCTTGCAGCCAGCCACACAGGAAACTCATTTGCTGAGACATATCTTCAAAATGAGTGTCATTATATTTTGCATTTAGTCCTCCTTTGGGTTCCTATCTTTGTGTACTATAGACCAGGAAAAAAAAACATAGTAGGGGTCAAAGACAACAGGAGACAAGACAAGACATGTGAGATTTTCTTTTAATTCTGCTGGGTTTTGGAGCTGGAGAGGTTGTTCAGTGCTTAAGGACACTTGCTGCTTCTTCAGAGGACCTGGGTTCAGTTCCCACCACACACATGGTTGTTTATTACAGTTTATAACTCCAGTTCCAGGGAATCTGATGCCACTTTTCTTGCCTCTGTGGTTACCAGGCACACACATGGTACAATACATACATACAAACAAAATACATCAAATGAAAAGAAATAAACCCACAACAACAGCAGCAGCAGCAACAACAACAGAAGCAACAGCAACAACAGACTATTAGACTCCTATTTAATGAATAAGAACATTCAGATTCCAATGTTGTGAGGTGTTGTACTGAAAGGGGTTGGGAAGAGAACTTGGATTTTCTTCCAGGTCTTGTGACTCTCCAGCTGGGTAACCCAAGGCAAATCCCTTACCCCTTCTATGCCTGTTTCCTTCTCTGTGAAGCAGAATTCACAGTGGGAACGTGTGAGGGTTAAATGTGCTAGGCATTCTGTAGACTGCTTCTGTGAGCTGTACTCTACAAGGTGCCTGACAGACGCTAGTTTCCTCAGGCTCTTTGTCTGATGAGGCCATGTTAGAGAATGACACAGCAATAAGGAGCCCGGGACCAGGCTATTTCTGAGTAGCACAGGCTAGTTTTATCGAATCTTAACTACATGTGAAAACAGGCATGGTTTTTTTTTCCTTTTCTGTGCTTGTTTGTGTTGTTTAGGTTTTGGTAGTGAAAATAGTAGAGACAGAAGTATGCCCTTGATGTGTCATGGGTATTTGTGATCAAGGTATAGCAAACATTGCATCTAGCTCACCGAGAAAGTCATTGCCCAACTTCAAAATATTCTGCAGGGACTGGGACAGGGGCAGGGGTTGGCTCTGGGTCAGGGGCTGGAACTGGGGCAGGAGCTAGGGCAGGGACAGGGGCTGGGACAAGAGCAGGGACTGGGACTAGGGCAGGGGCTGGGGCTGGGACTGGTTTGTATGCTAATTGGCAGTGTGAAGGAATCATAAAAGTTCAAGTGTAGCTAAAGTAAAGGCTGATATGAGTTTTGCTTCTTTGGTGTGTGTGTGTGTGTGTGTATGTATATATGTATGTATGTAGAAGTCAATCCTGGGTGATTGGTAATCTTTTTTTGATTATTACTGCTAAATATACATACATACATACATACATGCATACATACATACATACATGCATATCCAAGAAAAAAATATTTAACTACAATCTACTAGGGCCTTTTCTGTTCTTTGTATGTATGATTTCAGGTTTATTAAACTAATAGATCTTAGAAGAGAATCTACTATTGCCACTTTGCCGGACGAGAATAATTTCTAACTTTATCCTAAATCCTTTCTTTAGTGTAGTTACCCGGCAAGTGTGGCTACCACCCTTCATCAAAGAAGACTCTCTGTACAGCAAATGGGGACAATCACAGAAAACACCACTGGACACAATGCAGAGATCAATGGATCATGGGGAGGGCAGATCCAGTAAATACATTTGTATCACAGCCTCAGTGAGCATCACAGAAGAGGGAACAGAAAGATTGTAAGAGCCAGAATACCAGAAAGTCTGCTGTGAAATAGTCTCTCCTAGAAATGGCTACATACACAAGATCTAGACATTGGCAGTATATAATGGACATGTTAATGTGGGAGGGGGAAAAAGTCTCCATCCTAGACAAAGACTTACAGGCAACTGCAGAGAGAGAGAGAGAGAGAGAGAGAGAGAGAGAGAGAGAGAGAGAGAGAGAGAGCTCTAAGAATCGTTCTTCTTTATTGGTTATCTAGTACAAAATGGTCAGTCCTGGAACTATACCAAATACATACAAATAACAAAACTGGTTGGTGATGAGGATTAAACTCAGGTTTTCATCTATGCTGGATGAACAGTTTGTTGTTGTTTGTTTGTTAACTTGACAAAAGCCAGTGCCATCTTAGAAAAAAGAATCTCAATTGAGAAAATGCCTCCATCAAACTGTCTTGTGGGCAGGTATGTGGGGAATCTTTATGATTAATGATTGATGTGGGAGGGCCCAGCTCCATGTGGGTTGTGTAAGAAACATAGTTGAGCAAGTCAGTAAGCAGTTCTTTTCATTGCTCCATCTTCAGTTCCTTCCCGGACTTCCATCAATCTGACCAGTAAGTGAAAGACAAATAACCAGCCCACAAATCACAAGCCCAGAGAACCTAGGCAGCAATGAGGACCCTAAGAGAGACATACATAGATCTAATCTACATGGGAAGTAGAAAAAGGCAAGATCTCCTGAGGAAACTGGGAGCATAGGGATCTTGGGAGAGGGTTGAAGAGGAGGGAAGAAGCAGGGAGAGGAGCAGAGAAAAATGTAGCGCTCAATAAAAATCAATAAAAAGTGAGGGGAAAAAAGAACATCAAATAACTAATTTCTTCCCCGAGTGGCATTTTGGTTATGTGTTTATTAAAGCAACAAAACGTACTTTGCTAACAGAGGTATCACTTCCCCAAGCCCATGGTTTGCATTAAAAAACAAAACAAAAGAAAAACAGAAAAACGATCCATAAACTTCAAAGTTTTAACTTCAGTGTAAATAGAGTTTGGATGAAGTTTTAGGGGCAATTCAGAAGAAAAGAGCATGGCAGCATTCATCCTTGAGAAGGAGGAAAGACAGAGTGAACCTCTTTCCTTCCATGACTTCAAAGGGGCATGGAGAAACAAGAAGGAGTTCTGAGGGTATGGAACTGTCTATTTTCCTCCACAAAAGGAACTGTAGAAAAGTCAAATTGGACCTTAAGTTGGTGGAGCTCAATGAATAGGCATCCCAGTTCATTTGTTTCTGTCTAAGCAGATAGCATAAAGGAGGTGAACCCGTGAAAGTTCCATCAAAATTCTACATCTGGATTTAAATTCTTTAAAATTTGTATTTGCAGGCAAAATTTAAAAATGTACAAAGATATAATATAAGAAGTTGGTTGTTGTGAAAGCATTACATTTCTTCCTTTGGGTCAGTTCGTGGGACAGATATTAACTGCCTGCCTTCATTGCAGATACTGCTGTAGGTGTCAAGACCCATCTGCAAGTGAGGTTAGTTCTTAACAAAACTAAGCTTGCATTCTATAGGATGGGAAAATGGACAATAAATTGGTGTTGAAAATGCTGCAGGTTGAGTAGCCTCAATTTCAAAGCTCAAATTCCAAACCACGCCAAAATCTAAAACTTTTGGGATACCAACACGATACTATGAGTGGAAAATCCCATGCTGTGAAATTTGGCTTCATAACCAAAATTATTAAAATTATTGTATGACATGATCTTCAGACTACATATTTAAAGACCTTTTGTTTGCAAGTATATTAGATAAGGGGTACCAAACCTGTAGTTAAAAAAAAAAAAAACAGGGCTGGAGAGATGGCTCAGAGGTTAAAAGCATTGCCTGCTCTTCCAAAGGTCCTGAGTTCAATTCCCAGCAACCACATGGTGGCTCACAACCATCTGTAATGAGGTCTAGTGCCCTCTTCTGGCCTGCAGGCATACATGCAGACAGAATATTGTATATATAATAAATAAATATTTAAAACCAAAACCAGGACACAAGTGTCTAAAATGGCAGAGCTGCCAGGGAACAGGTTGAAGTATTAATATATGATAAAGGGAGAACTCATTGAGTTGGAGGAATTTGGGCAAGGGAAGGAAGTGAACCTAGCAGAAGCTGGGAAGAGTCAGCAAACAGGGATAGCAGATAACTAACTCTTGTAACATGGGAACACTGCTAGGATGTGCGGGGGGGGGTGGTTGTGGAGTGGGAGTAGTAGTAGAGGTGGGCAGAAGGGCAACAGGAAGGGCTGGACAGTCAAGCCATGGAGGGCATTGAAGACCATCCCAATGATTAGGATTTAACATAGAAAGCATTGGTAGTCAGCATCTTTAACTCCACTAATGACAGCGAACTTTCATTCAGCTTTGAGATGTAATTGTTTTGCTTTCTTTCTATGTTTATAGTTTGTTACTGAAATTTTACAACCTCTACTTATATAAAGAAAAAAAAACACAATTCTCAAATATCTCAGATAGCAGCTAGGAAATAAAATGAATTGCTTACCAACGTACTGCTTCCAAAACTCAGTCTGTAAGAAAAAAAAAAAAAAAGGACAACTTAATGATAGTGTTTAAAGAATTTTTGATGTGGATTCATTTTCTTTTATAACATTTGTGATTTAATGTGTACTGATATTTTAAGATTTCAAATACAATTTTCTTTCTTTTAAAATTGGTTTAAAATAGTTTTCATTTTATTTTATGTGTATGGGTGTTCTGGCTTCCTGCATACAGGCACTATGTGCATGCAATACTCACAGAGGCCAGAAGAGGGTGTTGGAGCTCCCAGAGCTGTAGTTAGAGATGTTTGTCAGCTTCCATGTGGACACTTGGAATCCCACCTATGTCCTCTGGAATAGGACACGAAGCCATCTTTCAAGTTCCCCACTCCCTTTTTAAATGAAGGTTTCCATATTTTGCTTGGGGACATATTGCTCTCGTATGATGTGGGTATACTCACAGTTTTTTCAGTGTTTTCAAAAACTTCTCGCGCTTCTTCAAAGCTACACCTTTCTTCAACACATTCTCTCTCAAGGTTTCCTTGAACAAACTCTTCCAGTTTCCCTGAATTATATCTTTTTGGACGGATAAGAATTTTGGTGGCATTTTCACGATCAAGGAAAACTGAAATTTAAAAGAACCTTTCTTTAGTTTTAAGGGAGAGAGAGAGAGAGAACTCTGAAAATGATATATGTCTTTTAAGAAAATGTTTATTTTTCAATCCAAAATATAACTAATTTCTCTTTGGGGAATGGAGCCAAAATCTTCAATGTTCTCACGGTACTATATACACATTGAGATTTAGGAATTAAAATTCAATTTTACTTTTAATCAGTAGAGCTCTAATAATCAAAGGTCACATTTTCAGCCATATTTGTATTTAACTTTGGATGAAAAAGAAAGTTCTCAAATAAGCAGTAACTTCACACTTCGTCATCACTTGAAATAGCTCAGTGCGGGATCCTTGCAAGGTGATCCATCATCACTGTGACTGGGCTGCTTCCAGGACATAGTCTCCCAGTGACTTTGCAACAAACATCTGGTGAAGAACAGAAGCCTGTCTTTATTTGTTTTGATTTTTGTTTTATTTTTGTTTTGGGAGATAGATAGATGATAAATAGATAATAGGTAGGTAGGGGAGTAGATGAGAACATGAAGTTGGAAGTTGGGTAGGTAAAGAGATAGGGAGGATCTAGGAAGAGTTGGGGAGGGGAAAGATGATCAGAGTATTTTATACCAAAATATATTAAGCAACAACATCAACAAAATCCCAACTCTAGGCCAGCTGCAGATGGGACCCCAGTGCCTCTCATGGGCTATTGAGAAACAATCATGCAGTAATTGAGTTTATCTTCAGGAAGATGATGTCTTTAGTTGGTATATGAATTCCAGTGATGGAAACATTTCACTGAAATTTATGATGTGGTTTCTTTTAGGTATGGCTGCCTGCCTACTCTGTAGGACACTTCTGTTTTTTTTTTTTTTTTTGAGTACTTAAGACTTTGAATTTTCTGCCTTCTTCCCTTTCCTTCTCCTTGCATCTTTGTATCTATTCCTATCTCTCTGTATCGCTCCCTCTGCATATATACATGCATATGTGTAGGCATATATGTGTATATGTTTACATATGTTGATGTATGTATATAATGTACATAATCAATAACAGGAACCCGAAAAGCTGCTTGGAGTTGCTCCTTTCCTTAGCAGCTATACTGGGGCTAGAGAGATTGTTCAGTGTCTAAAAGCACTGATCTCATAGAGGATCTGGGTTTAAATCCCATCACATAATCATCACATCACATAAGGATTTGTATCAGGTGGCTCACCACTACCTGTAACTCCATCCAGTACCAGGGGAATCTGATGTCCTCTGGCCTCTATAGATAGGTACCAGCATGGATGTGATGTACATAAACTTAATCTCATATGCAGGCACAAATAAAAATAATAAATAAATCTTAGAGACAGCATCAATGTAGCTGATAATACTTCAAACTGAACTCTCTAGGGCATTTAGTACTAGTTTTTCATTAACAGAAACAGGGAGGGTAGAAGAAATGAAACTTAATTTTATTACCTTATTTTTTTGTGGCAGTAATTTCCTTTATGGAACATTCTAGTCCATTGACATCCTTGATCTCTGAATCCATTTGGGAACACTTCTCCAATCCCTGAATTTATTTAAGTATCTTCCTATCATTCTTCCCTTGCCAACTTCCCCAACTCATTCCATTCCTTGTTAGCACTTTTCTTGCCAGGCAGTCTTGAGGCGAGGCAGGTTTGTATTTCACCAAATTGCCTATGGGTACCTTTGTGTATTTATATCTAAGTTCCCACCGCAATTTATTTGCTTGGTTCAAGTCATTCATATAGAACATCTGTGATGGTAGTAATTTATAATGTGGACGAATGGAAAAACAAGGTTTGCAATTAGATAGGACAGGATTTGAATCATCATGTATCTGCCTTTTTTTTTTAACTGTGTGAACATAGATAAGACATATAATGCCTGGACCTTAACTTTCTCAAATATAAAATGGGTATAGCAACAGTGTGAAGTGTGTACTCATCATCATCATGTTGACGGGATCTCTGAGATCAATTATAAGCCAGTGTGTCCCTGGTTACTCTCTTCCCCCCACGTTTCGCATGCTGTTTTCCTTTTCCTCTGAGCGTTCCTCCTTTCTCCAGCTCTGCTATGCCCTGTGTAGTGCCGTTACTTCCTCCCTGCCCTCTGTGCAAGGAAATCATTATTGTCATTATTGGTAGCAATCTTGTAAAGAATCATTTTGACTTCATGTATTTCCTGACTGCTTCCTGTCACACAACAGAGGATTAGCCCTGGATTTCCAGTCGAAAGCCAGACTACAGACCCTGTGCTGTGTTGGTATCAACACACTGCACTCGACCCTTCAGATCCTCTATGTATGTCTCCTAACCCTTTCATGAGCGTGTGGCTATTGAACCACTTCAGCTCTGTTTCATTATTACCACTTCCGTTGTCTGTCTTCTTTCTATGGCTACTGTCCAGGTTCGGATCTTTTGATTCCTCTGGATAATTGCAAGAGACTTAAGGTTGGACCCGCTAGCCTGGAGCCTCATCAGTTCTAGAGTGTCACCAGCCTGAGCATTGTAACACAGGGAGGGGTGTGCTTCTTACACTTACATTTGTTACACCTCCACATTGCTCTCTACTGTTAAATCTCTTTAGATTAGGACCCTTTTTTAAAAAGTATTATGATCTAGTTCATCTCATTTTCTTGCCTCACTTCTAACAGTTAATATTCAAACCAGACAGAACATCTGGAATACTTACATTACTGTGGATGTGGCTCTTTCTGTGTGAGGGTTACTATCTACATAAAATGCCAACATTGGTGATTATTTTTATTGCTCTCTCTATATGATTATATATATGATATTATACATACACATGTGTATGTGGAGTGTGTAGATGGGTGGATGTGTGTGTTCTGGCTAGTTTTATATTAACTTGACAAAAAGCTAGAGTCATTTTGGAAGAGGGAACCTCTTTTGAAATATGCCCCCATAAAATTGGCCTGTGAGCAAGCCTGTGGGGCATTTTTTGATTGATAATTTATATAGGAAGGCCAGGCTCACTGTGGCCTGTGCCACCCCTGCACTGGTAGTTCTGGGATGTGTAAGAAAGTGGGCGGAGCAAGCCTTGAGGAGCAAGATCGTCATGGTACCAGGCACCTTAACAGTAATGAATGTCTTAACATACCTGAATGCGTGAAAGACAGTTTTGATCTGTATACTTAGTAAAATCAAATTCATTTCACAGACTCATTTTGATTTCCAATTCTAAATTGGCACACTAAGGCACTAGTCATGAACATGCAGCAGCTCCATGACAGTTTAACAGAAGACAGTGCTGCCGGCTTCCTGACCACAATGATGCTAAAATCCTGTTGCTTTTCTCCTTAGTACATCTCTTTAGGATTATCTCTAGTCATCATTGCTGCAGCTCTGAAATCTTGACTCTTCTATTATCTTACCATTATCCAAGGTCTTCTGGTGGGCAGCAGTCCTCTGACGCACACCATCCCCTTAGCACTAATTTATAAGAAAGTGTTAGGTTCTTTTGTCCTCTCTTAGGTGTGTTGAATGACCTGCCTTTATGATCCACGCAATGAGCTGTCCAACATGTATTTTTCATCTCTTACTCTACCCACTTTGCTAGAGCAGTTTAACCTTCACATTTTCCTGTCATCACTTCAGCCTTTCAGTCTGATTCCACAGTTGACATCATGTCTGGAGTGGAAACCAGAAGAGCAGCCTGTTTTCTGGGGATGTCCAGGGTTGGCACCCCTGATCCTGGCACTGTCAGCTGCTGGAGTTGCTGTTACAAGTAAGCGTGATAAATGCATCCCGAGTGAGCAGGCTGTTTGTCTAAATGCAGTAAGTTTTTCCCTGTGCGCCTCTCCCTGGGGAGGAAAGTCACTGTTGTTGCAAAAAGGAAACCAAACAAAAACTTACTGTGTTGTACTTTGCATGAACTAAGTTCCTACTCCTTCTAGCCATTTGTATACTTGCTTTGTCCCCTAGGGAGGTCGCTAAGTAAGTACCACGGTTCGCTAAACAACAGTTCTGAGACTTGTGAACTCACAGAGGAGCTTGTTTATTCCCATCCATGGAAAAACTTAATAAACATCTAATTTAATAAAGAAAGGTTGATCTTCCAATTTTAACTGAGAAATTCAACAGGAAAGATATACTTTTATACATTCTAACAATGCCTTGCCATCTACCTCTAAAGCATTGAAACACATGTAGATCAAGAAATACTTTTTCTGTAAATAAGACCACTGTGGTTTTGATGTTTCCCCTTTTGATTTCAAGGTGGTGAGTCTAAAATCCCAAAATAACATGGTTTTCTGTTTCTCCAGCAATTTCTTTGTTAAGAGATTTTTCCACTTTCATTTTTTTTAAAACGAAGGACACAGAAATTTTAAGAGGAATTGTATTGTCAAATAATCAGAATAACTGTGTCTATTAAATTCAAATGAATCACAAGCACTGTAAATGTAGCTCATTTTTAAAATGAAGGTGAAGTTACCAGACAGCCAATATTTGCCAGCTGACATGCTGCCTGCTAGAATCGAAACTATAGCGTCAAATCACGGAACCTTGGTTAGTTGAAAACAACGGTTCTAAATATTTCTGTATCTGAAAGAGAAGCAGATTCAACGTAGCTTTGAAAAGGAAACAAACCTGCACATTCAGCGCCGAGTAGATACCCCAAAAGGAAGACAGTGATGAGGCCTGGTGATTCTGCCATGATTGTGTTCAGGTGCTGCGTGACCTTTGTTAGTGGATTGTGCAAGTGTCAGGGCTGATCAATCATTCCAAAGTCCAAATTGAACTGGATTTACTTCTGGGAAATTCCTGTTCAGATCCCTCAGTGGGCCTTTGGGCTCTTTCCAGAGGTTTCTTGGGTCAAGTGAAGAGAATGGGCAGGATTCATCATTGAAGCGATCCTTGGGTTTCATGGGCTTCTGTCACTGGGGCAGGGCTACCATTGGCTGACAGCAAGGTTTATTAGTTGGAAATAATTTTATCTTTGTCATAGAGCAATACTATAAAACTTAAAGATTAAAAGGGAATCCTTTATCTGATCCTTTATATTAAAATATGTTAAGTATGTTTATAAACTGAATTTACAAATTATAATTCTGAAAGATCTGCTAGTCCCTTTATTGCAATGATTTACAATCTTTCTTGTGCCATGTGCCAGTATAGTGACACATATAGATCCTGTCTCTATATGTGTATGTATTTATGTAGAAATATACATGTATATCTATACAACATCCATGCAATCCCCATCAAAATCCCAACACAATTCTTCACACATAGGACAGTTTTCAGCTTCAAATGGAAACACACACATGCACACACACACACGCACACAAACTCAGGTTAGCTAAAACAAGCCTGAATAATAAAAAAACTGCTAGGGTATCACCATCTCTGACTCAGATTGTACTACAGAACTGTAATAAAAATAGTATGGTAAACATAGACATATTAATAAATGAAATCAAAGACCTAGACATAAATACATACACTTATGGATGCCTGGTTTTTGGTAAAGAAGCCAAAAATAGACACTGGAAAAAAAAGACAGCCTCTTCAAAAATTGGTGCTGGTTAAACTGTATGGCTGCATGTAGAACAATCCAAATAGATTTATACCACACAGTACTCAACTTTGTATGGATCAAAGGTCAGATACACTGGAGTTGATAGAAAAGAAAATGAGGAATAACCTTGAATGCATTGGCACAGGAGATGACTTTCTGAACACTCAGAACAACAGTTAATAAATGGGACCTCCAGAAACAGAAAAGCTTCTGTAAGGCCAAGGATACTGTCAATGGGACAAACCAACAGATTACAGAGTGGGAAAAGATTTTACCAACTCCACATCTGATAGAGGACTAATATCCAAAATATATAAAGACCTCAAAAAACTAGACATCAAGAAAACAACTCAATTAAAAATGGCATATAGATATAAACAGAATTCTCAAAATAGGAAACTCAAATGGCGAAGAAACACTTAAGGAAATGTTCAATGTCCTTAGTCATCAGGGAAATGCAAATCAAAACTACTTTGAGATTTCATCTTACAATGTCAGAATGACTAAGTTTACTAAAACAGCTCATGCTGGTAAGGATATGGAGTAAGAGGAACACTCATACATTGCTGATGGGAGTGCACACTTGTACATTCACCATGAAAATCAGTGTGGTGGTTCCTCAGAAATATGGGAATCAATTTACAACAAGAGCCAGTTCTTGGACATATACCCAAAGGATACTTCTTTTTTTTTAACCACAGAGACACTTGCTCAACCATATTCGCTGCTGCTGTATTTCATAAGATCTAGAAATTGGAAAAAAAAACTATATCCTGTCAGCAGAATGGATAAAGAAAATGTGGTCCATCTACATAATGGAATATTACTCAATCATTAAAAAAAGAAACCTTGAATTTTACATATAAATGGATGGAACTAGAAAGAAATCATCCTGAGCAAGGTATCCCAGACCCAGAAAGGCATATATGGTATGTATTCACTTACATGTGGATACCGATGATACCAAAGCTACAATCCGTAGAACCACAGAATTTAGGCATAGAATAAAGGACTAGGGAGGACAGATACTTCTCCTTAGGAAAGGAAATAGAATAGATAGTTATGAATAGATTGAGGGAGTGGCCAAAACAGGAGAATCAAGTTGGGGGGATGGGGTGAGGGAGGGGGAACGTGGAAAGATACAGTTAAAATTAAGAGGCATTTGAGGGGTGGTATGGAAACCTAATACAGTAAAATGCATACATATATGAGGGCAATATAAAGAAAATAGCCTAATAATGGGGGAGTCACACCTCCAACTGGACGTTTCTTATCACCAAAGGAAGCTTCAAGTACCAGACTACCTCTTATTGGGTTGTTGGCCAAAGAGGTCGCATGGGAAGCCCTGAACAACCCAGGCCGTTGCCACTCTCCACAAGCGGGTAGTATGCTCAGTTGCTGAAGAGAATAAGTACATAATTTTTGGACATATATAAGTCGAGCCTAACTACGGCCTTCACCCCTATGTGCTAGTGTCTTTGGTACAGGAAGGTACTCTGAACCCTAACAAAGGAGAAAGCAACACCAACCCAGTCACAAACCCTTTGATCTACAATGGTGTTCTGCCTGCTAGATAAGCCAGTGCAATGGCAGCACAAAGGTTACGGACGTAACCGATCAATATCTGCTTTGACTTAAGGCCCCCTCCGTGAGATGGAACCCATTCCTGATACTGCTCATGTGATCAAGAGCCTGAGACTAGATAGCCTGGAGACCCAGGGTGAAACCAAATATTACTGTTTGGATAAAAGACTGTAGCAACATGTGACATTCTGCTATTACTCACAGATCAGTGCCCTGCTCAGCCATCATCACAGAAGCTTTCTCCTGCAGCAGATGGGAAAAAACGCAGAGACCCACAGCAAGAAATTACATAGACCACGAGAGACCTTAGAACACTCAGGCCTAAATGTCCCTTCCGTGACAGCTAAGGAGACACTGTGTAATAGTAGACAGAGTTTAAGAACTAGAGGTGATGACTCTTATTTCCAATAAAAAAAAAATCTCAGAAGATTACATTTCAAATTACCTGTATTTTTTGTGGTATTTGTAGTGATATTTTATTTGTATTTTAATAAATAAAGCTTGCCTGAAGTTCAGAGAATAAAACAGCTGTACCGATCAGCCTTACAGTGGTGACACACGCGTGTAATCCCAGTAACCACACTAGTCTGCATAGAAACCAGGTGGTAGTGGTACATGCCTTTAATACCATCCCTAGAGAGGAATATAAGACAGGAGGAGGCAGGTGTCAGTCATGGTCTAATTCCGAGATTCCTGGAGGTAGGATAGCCATTTTCTGACTGAGGTAGAGGTAAGAGCCAGTGGCTGGCTGTTTTGTTTTTCTGACCTTCAGGTTGAACCCCAGTTTCTGTCTCTGGGTGCTACAGGTGTTTTTAGAAACTTATTTTTATTTTAAGTGTTTGTTTATTTGCTTGCATGGATGTCTGTGCTCCATGTGTGTGCACAGTGTCCAATGGAAGCCAGAAGAGGGTGTCAGAGTCCCCTTAGAACTGGAGTTACAGACAGTTGTAGGTTGTTATCTTGGTGTTGGGAATTGAAGCCTGGTTCTCTATAGGAACAAGTGCTCTTAACTGCAGAGCCCTCTCTCCAGCCTCATGTGATATTGTTCTGATATAGTTTACTTCTATATATCGTAGAAATCTTGAATTATATCATTTCCACTTTTGCTGCTTGTAAACAGCTAACAGACTTTTACAGAAATTACAAATGAAGGGAGATCTGTTATGTTTGAGCAGATATCTCCATTCTGGAGCTCTTTATGTGTAGAAGCAAAATCCAATCAGCTGCGCTATTTCCATTATTCTGAAGAATTTTCATTGTGTAGGAGCCATGGTACAGTTTTCTCAGTTTGTGTTTATTTGAAAATGTCTCTGTTTTACCTTCATTAAAATATTTGGATGGTTATAGAATAAGGTTGAGAAAGTTTCTCTCATTCAGAATATTAAATAAGTTATTGTCTTCCAGCAGGCATTATTTCTGATGAGAAGGTGATAATATTTTACTACAATTTTTTTCAGAAAATGACTATAATAATATAAGGTGTTCTTGAGATTCATTGAGATTTGTGGACCTGTGGTTTGGTAGTTATTTATTTATTTATTTTATACTGGAATTTTTTTATTTTTATTTTTATTTTTTTAATATTTTTTATTGAGAATAAGAAAAAAAAGTTTCCGCCTCCTCCCAGCCTCCCATTTCCCTCCCCCTCCCCCCACTCATCTCCCCCTCCCCCCACTCCTCTCCCCCTCCCTCTCTAATCCAAAGAGCAGTCATGGTTCCCTGCCCTGTGGAAAGTCCAAGGTCCTCCCCCCTCCGTCCATGTCTAGGAAGGTGAACATCCAAACTGGCTAGGCTCCCACCATGGAGATCATGTGACAGAAAAATGTTTCCTTTTATGAGACACGGATTCTGTGTGTATGTGTGTGTGTGTGTGTGTGTGTGTGTGTGTGTGTGTTTGTGTGCAATCACCTGTGTATGCATGTGTTTTAATGAGAATCTTTGTTTTCTTGTTATTGAAGTTTGAGTTCTCTATTTTGGACAAGGGCCTCTGTTCAGATGTTTTTTTACAGGCATCTTCTCCCACTCTGTGTCTTTTCTCTTACATTTACTTGACAATAGGTTCTTTTTTCTTTCATGAATTTTGTCTTTAGTGTCACATGTAGAAAGTGCCATTTCTATTTTCTCCTATATTATCTTCTAGGAGTTTTGTAAGTCTGTGATCTTTTTGAGATGAAATTTTCAAGTGTATGAAGTATGTACTTAGACTCTTTTTTTTGTTTGTGATTGTTCATTTTTTCCATCCTTATTTGTTGAAATATTTGTTCCTGTGTCAAAGATCAGTCGACTGTGTTATGTAGAGCAGTTTCTAGGTTCTTTGTTTATTCCATATATCTATTTATATATTCTTTCAAGGGTACCATACTTAATGACTGCTGTAGCTTTACAGTAAGCCTTGGAGTCCAGTAAAATCAGCATTTGGGCTCTTGCTTCTCTTTCTAGGTCTATTATGCTTCCATATAACCTTGATAATTAGTCTTTTGACAGCCATAAAATGGCTTGCTGTTATTTTTTAAATATGAATTGCAATGAACGTATAGATTGTCTTGGGAAGAACTACATCTTGACAGTATTGAGTCTTAGTAATGAACATGGAATATCTCTATTTGGTTCCTTGATTTCTTCCATCAAA